GCGGGAAGGAGCGTGGGACGGGAGGCGCTCTGGTTCGCTCTATGGTGCGTTCACTCCTCCAGGCCTCTCTAACCATAGAGAGGGCGCTGTGAGTCACTCTATGGTCAATTTAGTCCTCCCACCTGCTCCTTCACCATAGCGGGGGCTCTGCCTCGCTGTATGGTTAGCTCAGTCCTCCAGGGATCTATAATCATAGAGGGGGGAACGCTGTGTCGCGCTTTAGGGTTTACCCAGTTCTCCCGCCCCTGTAAGCATGGAGAGAGGGGCTCAGTCTAGGGCAAACTCAGTCCTCCACGTACCAGGGGTTAAAGGCTACCCTGTCTGCTCTATCCCAGGATAACCATAGAGACCGGTTAGTGGGCGTTCTGGCTGCTCCCCCCCCACCCCGCGTCCCAACCATGGAGACGAGAAATGACGCTGGGGGTGCCATAGGGATGACACCCGGAAGTGGCGTGGGGGCATCCGGAAATTGCCCGGGGGAGGGGAATCGAGGGGACACCGGAAGTGCCGCCAGGGGACGGTGATGGGTGAGACACCCGGAAGTGCCGGTTCCCACGCGGAGGGCGAGACAGGAGCCGACCGCCCCAGGTGTGTGCGCGGGGGGTCCCCGAACCCCTGGGTCCTCCTAGCTCTGCGGATGAGGGCGGAGGCCTGCGATCTCTCTGGCCCGGCTGAGCCTCCGGCCGCGTTTTCCTCCCGTAGTTCAGCTCCCAGAGACCCCGGCTCCGCCCCGACCTCCCCTCCACAGACAGGGCCCCATGCCTCTATGCCAGACCCGGGGGGGAGGGGGGTCACCAGGACTGGGAACCCCGGGGGGGGGGGGAGCAGCAGGAAGGCTCCTGGCGCCGTGTATTAGGGGACTTAATGGGGAAACTGAGGCACGGAGGGAAGGAGCCCAGCTGCCCCGGTCTCCAGGTCTCTCCCCTCCCACCGCCCAGGGCTGAGCCATGTCCCAGGCCACCAAGCGGAAGCACGTGGTGAAGGAGGCGCTGGAGGAGCTGGTGGTGCCCACGGCCCAGCAGCAGATCGTGCGGGTGAGTGAGGGGCCCTGGCCCCGGCCCCAGCCCCGTCCCCCACCACCCAGCATCAGCCACCCCCTGGCCCCGGGTGCAGGGGAGTCTCATCCCATGACACCCCTGGAGGCAGCTCGGTGCTGCCCTGTCCTGCTGCTCTGTCCCAGGACAAGTGTGGTCAGGGCTGGGGCAGCAGGGCAAGGACCGGCCCCTCTGTCTACTTTCTCCTGGGATAACCAGCACTCCTATTAACCCAGCGCCTGGAAGGAGTCACTGTGGGTTAAGGGCTTCCCTGCTTGTCAGCTCAATGCTGGATGCGCTTATCCCAGAACAAAGACGTGGGCAGGGAAGAGTTGGCACGGGGTAAGGGCTTCCTTGCCTGTGTACTCTGATAACCAGCCTCAGTATGAGACCTATGGGAAGGAAGGAAGGAGTTAGCCCAGGTTAAATGCCAATGCCTTCCTGCCTCTGAGGGAGTGCTGGGCTGCCTGTAGAGCAGTTGGAGGAGTTACCGTGGGTTAAGGGCTCCCTTCCTGTCTGCTTTATCCCAGGATAAGCAGCCTCAGTATCAGACCTATGGAAAGGAAGGAGTTACCCCAGTTTAAATGCTGCCTTTTCCGTCCGCTCTGTCCCAGAGGAGGGAAGGAATTAACACGGGTCAGGGGCTTCCTTGTCTGTCTGTTCTGTCCCAGGACAGCCAACCTTAGCATTAGACCCCTGGGTGAGAAGGAGTTACCCTGGGTTAAAGCCTCCCCTATCTGTATACTGCATCCTGGGATAATCCTGGCCCCTCCCCTAGGTTGTGGGTAGCCCTGGGAACAACCTGCACGAGGTGGAGGCACCAGGGGGCGGGCGCTTCCTGGCCAGCATGCCCCCCAAGTTCCGCCACAACCTGTGGATCAAGAGAGGTGAGTGGCTGCAGCACCCCTGGGGGTTGGGGGATCCCCACCACCCACTTCAAGGCAGGCCCCGCCCCCTCACCTGCCCCTCCCATCCTCACAGGTGACTTCCTGCTGGTCGACCCCATCGAGGAGGGCGAGAAGGTGAAGGCCGAGATCAGCTTCGTGCTCTACAAGGACCACATGCGCTACCTGCAGCAGGAGGGGCTCTGGTACGTGGAGAAACCGAGGCATGGGACAGGGCACCAGCCTCCCCCAGTCAGGCTGTGCCACCCCAACCTTCCCTCCCCTGAAATCGGGAAGATTAGGTCTTTATTTCAGAGTGGGGAAACTGAAGCACAGCAGACAGCAGCTCTGAGACCCCCCCCACTCCCACCCCCTCCCATGATCCCTCCATGGTAGGCAGTCCGCTGCCTCTCAATCCCTGTGCTGAACTGGCAGGGAGGATTTAGACTTAGCTTCTAAGTGAGGAAACTGAGGCACAGGGTGGTAGGCACCAGCCCTGACTCCCCCTCTGCCTGGCAGTCTCTCACCCAAGACCAGCCCCCCCCCCCCCCCCCA